TTCATAAAGAAAGCAACAGAATACCAATCAAGAAGGGTGTAAGGCAGGGGGACATAATTTCCCCAATGCTATTTACCGCGTGCTTACAGGAGGTTTTCAGAAGCCTAGAATGGGAACAGTTAGGGATAAGAGTCAATGGAGAATACCTTAGTAACCTGCGCTTCGCCGATGACATTGCATTGCTGAGTAACTCGGGGGACGAATTGCAACTCATGATTACGGAGTTAGACAAGGAGAGCAGAAAGGTGGGTCTCAAAATTAATCTGCAGAAAACGAAAGTAATGTACAACAACCTCGGCAAGGAGCAGCGCTTCGAGATAGGTAATAGTGCACTTGAAGTTGTAAAAGATTATGTCTACTTAGGGCAGGTAATAACCGCAGAGCCGAACCACGAGATTGAAGTAACTAGAAGAATAGAATGGGGTGGAGCACATTCGGCAAGCACTCTCAAATTATGACAGGTAGATTGCCACTATCCCTCAAGAGGAAGGTATATAACAGCTGTATCTTGCCGGTACTTAGCTACGGAGCAGACACCTGGAGACTTACAAAGAGGGTTCAGCTTAAATTGAGGTAAATGCAGCGAGCAATGGAAAGAAAAATGGGAGGTGTAACCTTAAGAGCCAAGAAGAGAGCAGAGTGGATTAGGGAACAAACGGGGGTTAAGGATATCATAGCTGAATCAAGAAGAAGAAATGCACATGGGCAGGGCATGTAGCGCGTAGACAGGATACCGCTGGTCATTAAGGGTAACTGACTGGATTCCCAGAGAAGGGAAGCGGGTTAGGGGGAGACAGAAGGTTAGGTGGGCAGATGAGATTAAGAAGTTTGCGGGTATAAATTGGCAGCAGCAAGCACAGGACCGGGTTAACTGGCGGAACATGGGAGAGGCCTTTGTCCTGCAGTGGACGTAGTCAGGCTAATGATGATGATGATGACTGTGCATGTTATTTGCTTGGTTCGATTTGGAATAAACGTGGAATAGGCTGCATGAAACATTACGCATCTCGGAAGTTTTAAGCAACACTGCCATAACATTGCATTAGTAGCTGCGTTTGGGGAACTTCAGTTATCGCAGCATCAATTGCGAGGTGCTTTGTGCAGCCTTTTCGTGTTGAAGCGACATTGCCTCAGTAACTAGTGTGATTGTTTGAAGTGGTGATGATAGCGCAAGTACATCCTTTGCAGCTGCATCTCCATGGCGACCCGTGCACTACGACCTGCTGCTCCGCCCTTCTATCAAGAACAACACCTACGAGGGATACGTGAACGCAGTCTTCGAAATCCAGCACAACGCAAGACAGGCGAGTGCGAGCTCCATAAACAGCTCCACCCCCTATCCTTATATATCCAAGTGCGACATCCTGTGGGCGAAAGTGCGCAATGTGAAGCAGGCTTTCAGAATATGAATACTGGTATCCACTCGTTGGTAGGACAGAGCTGCAAAGAAATATATACCGAATTCTTACGCTGTGTACTTATAAAAAATTACGATTTATGATTTGCGAGAAATATGACCCAAGAAAGAGGCACGTGAACTCCGCTTTCATACCAACATTCTCTTTGCATTTCAGCATCTAGCGCAAGACAAGGACCGCGTGGTAGCTGATTAGGGCTCGTGCCTGTACTTGCCGATTTCCGCCCGGTCCTTGCCTAGCGTTGTGCGCTGGATGCAGAAATTAAATACAAATATTCCTGAAATTGCGCGATTTTACATTGCGCTCTGTTTCTTTGTGACGCCTTGAGGAACAAAAAATTGCTAACGAGTTTCTTTAAACATTGTCATATGCGTGGCAATGTCAGGGCTTACTTGAAAGAGTCGTACATACTATTTTTTTTACTTGGAGTGTAGAACGCGTACATGTGCGCGAGGTTCTCCTTTAGGAGGAGGGGAGTTTTACGCAGGGCCCCCTATTGCAAGCCTATGCTAGGGCGAAATGGCTTTTTAGTTGAAGAAAGGGTGGTCCTAGCTCATAAATGAAGCGAAGTGCAAATACTATGTAGCTTTAAGGCTCCTAATCCATGACATCATTTTGAGAGACGCTGTAGTGGAGGGCTCCGGAAACTTTGATCACCTGGGGTTCTATAACGTGCACCCAACTCTAAGTACACGGGCCTGAATGAAATTTTAGCCACTGCAGCCAGGATTCGATCCCGTAGGTGAGCAGTCTAGTGCCATAACCACTGTTGTGGGGCAATCGCCGACACCTATTCGGACGGGTCACTGTACACGAGACAGGCCTTTTTCCTGGCCGATAGACGTTGTACATCTCCATGGACGTCATTCACTGTTCACAGGATGTCCTTACTCAGCCCATTAGAATCACCCACACGTGTCCCTCTGCACGAAAGAAGGGAAGCCAACGCACGAAAATGTCTGCTCACTCTTGTTGGTTTCCTCATCAGGAAGGGCAAAGATTCATCGCAGCCCTACACCCCTCCATTGGTATAGAGCAGTAAATGAAAGAAACAGACAGAAAATGAAGCCAGAACGTACTTTTCACAACGGCCTTCCTGGCGTTCCTAAAGCAAGAATGTTGGAGCACACTTTCAGGCTGAAACCACAAACAACAAAAGAAAGCACCGCCACGAAAAGCAAACATGTAAAACAAGTGCGCATAGATTGTTGCTTGAAACAAGGCCATTTAAAACATTAGCTGCCACATTTACACGAATATTGCACTGCTGCACTGAAAGTGAATGCGTTAGAGCGCAAAGTATAGGTAGGTCGTCTTGAAAAAAAAAATCGAGATCGTCAGTACTATTGCTGTATGTACATACATTCGTCATCGAATGAAACCTGAACAGCGACAAGCATTCGTCATGGTATATAATCGCGAGTCGTCTGGTTATCACCATGGACAAGCCCGCACCTGCACAGTGCTGCCAAACCAGATGCTCGTCTCTATTATTAGGGATGACAGGGCGGGCAAGACCGTTTGAAATGCTCGTGGCTGTTCGGGTTTCATTTGATGCCGAGAGTACTGTCTCAACGGAAATATATTAGTGCAATTGAACGGTGTGCCTTAGCTTCAAAATTGCCACACGTGGCGCTCTTGCTCACAAGCACGCCGATTCCACGTTTGCCAAGAACATTCTATTTTTTTGTTTCTTCAATATAGGGGTGGCTGGAAGACGACGGAAAACGTGCTGTTGGTCCATTCGAAAGCCCACGTTTTCAAGAAACGCTCGTTCATTGCTTATCGGCAGATGTTGCCATGTAACGCGATATCATTATTTTTCCTTTTTTGCAGAGGTTGCGAGTAGCCATATCTTTATCGCAGTTGCCAAGATAAAGCTGCTTGTACGAATGCTTTCCGCCGGCCACTCCTGCTTTGGAAAATGGAATGCTATTCGCACTCTGGATACCGGCGTGCTGGGGAAAAATATAGCAGGACATGTCGCACTCTTGCCGTTCCGGCGACTGGTCACTTCGGCCATTCTGAACGTTTCGCGCTTCGCTATAATATGCCTTTGGCATGTGCACAAGAAAAATGATGGACTGAAGGTGAACGCCTACAAATTTCTCGCGGAAGCTTTCAGTCCCATTGTAATGTCTGAGAAATGTATGAAATAATGGAACAACTGTGGCATACAAGGTAACCGTTTGAAGCGTTGACAGACAACAGTCGCTTTCTTTGGTCCTCGAACTGCGTGGTTCTCGCGTACTTTAAAGCTTTGGCACAATTTCTGTGGGACAAAAAGGTATACTTATAAGTACGCCGTATTGGCAGACAACCTTACCTTTTTGAGTGTAATTAATGTTACGTATAATCTTCACTGTCTTTCATACGACCTTCTGTCCTGCAAGTTATGCGTTCACTCCTGGCCACAGAGGACGCATTGGGATGAAAACGAAATGGTAGATTACCATGTTTTATGCGATGTAAGTGCACGCCAAAAGACTTGGTGTTCAAAATTTCTGCACCTCTTCAATACAATGCCTCATAGTGACAGCGCACAGTTGAAACCTAAAGTCTTACATCACGTCACATTAATATTGTTTTTTATCATGGTAGTCCAACACTTACGTATGGTTTTGTAGTGCTGACCCGCAGAGCACGGCATTGAATACTGGCCCGGGGGGGGAGGGGAATTTTTGGTAGAAGCGAAAATGTTGAGGCCCGTGTGATTAGATTTAAATGCACGTCAAAGAACCCCAGATTGTCGCAATTTCCGGAGCTCTCCTCTACGGCGACTCTCATAATGAAATTGTGTTTTTGAAACAATAAGTTCCTTGAGTTATAATAATAATAATAATATATAATAATAATAATAATAATAATAATTATAATAATAATAATAATAATAATAATAATAATAATAATAATAATAATAATAATAATAATAATAATAATAATAATAATAATAATAATAATAATAATAATAATAATAATGTATCGTTTTACGTCGTTTTTCGCCACTCCTGTTTTTCCTCCAGATCATGCTCGACTGCTCCAAGAAGCTGGAAATCGTTTCGACGATTTTGAGGTGGAAATCGTTTCCGGTTCGCGTCACACGTGTTCTCCGAAACGGCAGCAAGGTTGTCATCGAAACGACACACCTCCTAAGGCAGGGACGCACGTAAGCACTTTTAATTATTTTTATTTTTTGCATGTAAGCAACTACTTACAGAATTCACACATGTTTCTGGATAGCAAGGGTGAAAGAGCTGACTGTAGTGTTCAAAAAAAAAAAGAAAAGAAAGGAATAGGCGAGTTTGGATAGTATGGAAATCAGTCTAAGCTGACCAAACACAACCTTTCGACATGATGTATAATGGGGAATTGCTCTTGTCTTAGAGTTTCGGAGAAGCCAAAGAACCATTCGCTCCACCAACTCCAATGGAGTTAGCAGCTCGTGAATTACAACACTGCCTCAGATGTAGTCTTGCTGGCTCTCTTGAGACACAGATGGTGCTGCGGAAGTGTCGTGAATTAAAGCTAAGAGCAGTGGGTACCAGTGTATGTTTGCGTGGCCCAGTTGTCAGTTGACGGGCCATGGGGTCAGGTTGTTGCACGCTAGCCTGGAAACGTTGCAGCTTCTGCCCGTACACAGCGTATGAGATGAACGAATGGTAGTTGGGCTAGCCAGCGAGGAATAATTACTACAGAAACTTCGTATGATTAGGAGCCTCGAAGACAAAGGTCGTTCGGGCCTACCAGTCGATGTACTGATTCTACACTCATAGGGGGCCTTATGATGACGTCACATGTTTTAGAAACCAGTTACGTTACATCAAAGGCGACGGAAATCAAAGGCGACGTCATCACGTGACGGTGATTTTTCGCATCGCTCGGGGTGGCGCCACGAACGCCAACGGCCAAGTTACGTGTTTGATGAGGAATCGAAGGTTTTCGCCTTAAGAAACACGAAGGTACTCTAGAAGAAAAAATGCTTATTGCATGACGTCGATGTTTAGCTGTCTTTCCTTACCGCGTGTTTTCATAGTTTTCATCATTGCCTTTTGGAGAATCTCTTAAACGAGTTCGTAGCAGGAACTCTGGTGCCACTACTGAACTAGGACGAAGCTGTCTTTATGTGAAGCTTGGAAGTTCGGGGAGAAAATACCTACTTGAAATGGGCATATCTTTGGCGCCTGTGGCACCGAATGCAGGTACAACCTCACTGTGCAGTTTCAAGGGCGTCTTCGCAAGGACTATGGCCTGGTCCTGAAGCGAGTGGGTGATCAGGTCATTTTGTTCATGTTTCCCCGGTGAGTATATTTTTTGATGTCTTGTCCACGAGCAAGCACGAGATTCACGAACGAAAAAAAAAATATTCGTGAAAGTTTACTCGCTAATATGTGGTGGTGGGGAGGGTGTTGCAAGAGGCGGGGTAGCCTGGCTTAAACGGCCGGCAATTCCTTTTCCTGAGCATCTTGTGAGTAAGAGCTATCTGTCATGAAATGTCACAAGCGTCTCGGAAGGAAATCACTCGCTGGGCTCTGACGTAAGTTTCTGGAAGTGGTTTTCATGTTTGTTGAGAGATAATCAAGCACACGCAGGCAATGTCATATACGGTCTGAATCGTTTACATTTGTGCTAATAACCGTATTACCATCTTAGACGCAAAATAGTGAGTGCAATAGACAATTTGCGTGAGAAAGGCGTGAGAGATATTAATTGTTGTTCTTAATTGTGGTGTATTGTATATGATGTAAATTGTTATATATTAGGACGTCAAAATTACTAAACTGCCATTAAGGAGAGCAATTTGTGCCTCTTATGCCCTTCATGACCTAGTGGAGTGTTGAATGCATTTGGTGGTATATCTAGCAAATAGAAGTACACCTTGCTAAAAATTCTTTTTTCGTTCATTATAGTTTAGGTGACAGGGGCTAACAGCTTGCGAGATGATTTTGCCTTTTAGAACTACCACCATGCGGCAGTAGCTTTTTTTAGCCACTGGTGTTATTTTTATTCGTGCAGCTGATGTGTGCCTTCATAATAAAAAGCAGCGCGACAACAACAAGAAAGAGACAGAAGAAACAGGGCACAACGCTGACAGCACACAACATCCCGGTAGGGGCAAAAGGAAAGTTAGTTTTTAGGCCAAATAGAATGAGACTCAATCAGTAAAAAACGGATCATATCGAATATCCTATTGTACAGAAACAGCGAACGTCATTTCTAATATAACCTATTATGAAGTGGTATTTACAGTCCAGTATTCATAGAATTGAGAAAATACCAGCATTGAAATTGCGCGTTTTTTAACATCGGTTATTCAGGCCGAAGTGGAGTATTACAAAACCAGTACAGTAGGCGCACTGAGACACATATTTTAGAGCGCTCATGCACATTCCTAGAATTTGAGGACATCTGCACTTGGCGACATCTCTGGGCGGCAGAAACGGTGTCCTGCCATACCTGAATAAAAAAATAGACGTAAAAAGCCAAATATATCCAGTTACCAAAAACGACTCCCGGCTTTACAATGTGTGGAGGCGTTGGAAAGTTCTGGTACCATTGGAGAATCGCACGACGAAGCTTGTGTCCTCCCAAGAAACTTGAGCACTGTGCATTAGAAACACATGTGGTGCCATTGTAGTATGCTAAAGACTCTTGGAAGACTCGCAGTTTATAGTGCGATACTCCATTTTTACGACACCGTTACAGTGGCTCTAGCCTGCATATAACCGAGATTAGTTTTTGGTAACTAGCGTTTTTGTATCGTATCACTTTTCATGGCCATTTCCTATTCAGTGAAAGTCGGCCACTGCTGTCGTGTACGCAAGATGGCGCTAAGCGCGGTTGTATTCAAATTCTGGCCATGAGTTGTCATGCTTAGTGTTTTAACTACGCCCGCTAAGGGCAAAACTTTTCGTGTTGGTGCTTTAGTCTTATTCTTGACTGCACAGAGCTTACTTCTTCGTCAATAAGATTGCCAGTATGTAGGCGTTTTGTCACAAGGTAGGTCCTGCAAGAAGGTGAGGCTGGCTACTGGGCAACATTTAGGACTGTCGAGAAAAGGACACTCAAACCAGTTAACATCTTCGTGCTTCTCTCTTTATTCTCCACTCTGACTTTTTGCAAGAGTACTCACACAAATCTTATTAATGTTTGGATTCTTGAACTCTATATAAATGCGGATGTCGAGAAGCTCTTTAAGAATGCCATGGTGCTTGGGAATGCAATGAATGTATTTTTAATAGCTTTACTTTAAAAATAGGACATTTTCTAGCTAATAAATGAACGGTTTCGCAGTGACGTTTCAACACAAGTCTGGCGTAACGGGAAAACTTTGATTCGCGACAAACTAACAGCTGTCAGCTTACTATCAGTCACACGTGTTTCACGTTAACGATGAGTGAATGGTGGTCCAGAGACACTACGATTTAGGCCACACACAGGTTGCAGATTTGACAAACTCTGTTAACTGTGTTCACTTGCCGTTATAATGTCCCTTGTGTTTGGCCTGGCTTGGAGATGCTTGGTGAAGAAAAATTTAATAAAATATTAGTGACACATTTCCTACGTGTCCGTCTCCGGTGTGAGAAGAGCACTGGTAGTGCGCACTGTGGAACCGAGAAATCTTCATTTCGGGGTGTCTCTTAATCGTGTCAGTACTCCAAAAGCTTTCCCAAGTACGGATTTTTTTTTTTTGTAAAGGAAAAAGACAGAATGAAGACTTGACCTGACATGCTAACACCGTCGTTGCTTTGACATGGCTGTGCAGAAAACTAGACGCGTTCGTGACCTTTCCGTGCTTCAAAGATCCCGGATGGAAGACGACTTTCGACGTGCGCCTTCTGGTCGACGAAAACTTGCATGCGTCTTCCACGGCCAGTATCGAGAATACCATGAAGGAGTCCAACGGCAGCACTGTTTATGTCTTTCACAGGTACCACATGCGAGATTGTATTTTAGGAAGACTGTTCAGCTGGTGGTGTGGTCAATCGTACATTCGAAATTGGTTATGAAAATGGTCTAGTTGGCAGTGTGATTTATTTAGGAGAATAATGCGAATCTGAATGCCAGAATTTGGAGAGGGTTGAGCAGTACAGCGGACAAAATAACATGCAGAAAGTACAAATTGTATTGAGCAGGTTATACAGCAGTGTAAAAGATAGTGTTTAGCGAAAAAGGCGTCGATTCGCAAAGCTAGAAGCATAAAATGCCGTTCACGATCCCATCATGAAGATAATATACATGATAAATGTATTCCACAAGTACTACATAAGAAATGAAGCATACCAAAAAGATGGTCTTGCTGGAAGTACAGTCTATGCCTTCCGCAGATAGCCGGTGCGAGAATACTGGCTAGGAAGATGGCATAGCTGGCATTGTGGTTTCTTTTATGGGTATTACACGCGAGGTAAGGTGCTACAGGTACTAGAAATACTACATGGGAGTTAGTATGTCAGGAAGATAGGCTTAGCCGACGGTGCCTTCAATGTTTTACTAGGGTATCACGCGACATATATTATCTTGATATTGATTAGCTGGTATTGCGGTCTTTTTGTTTCACATGTACTCCATGCGAGATAACATCTAGATAAGACTGGATAGTTTTTAGAGATAAGATTGCACTATGTCTTACCATTTTATTAGGGGTACTGGCCCGAAATTCTGACTTCACCAGATGAAAGGGGCACGGGCCGTACATCGCCCCGTCCTATCTGTTACCACGCTAACAAACGGGTTTACCCTTGTTCGGGTGCCATTTCAGTTGTACAGCGAGCTTTCTTATGCTTGCGGGCACTGCGATTATTAAGCGATATTGGGCATCGTATTTTTTTGCGGAGTCACTTTCAGTGTTTTGCTGGCGCTTTTCGCATTTTCGGAGCCTATTTGAATTTTCGAGCAAGGTTTTAGAAATTTTCAATAATCGCCACGTTCACCAATGGCGTGTTTGATTATGACCTTCAGGGGTTGAGTTTTGAAGTCTAATTCTGGTGGAATCAAGAAACGACACTACTTATGGACTGGCAAACATCCATTTAACCTAGGAAACAATGGTGAAAAGTAAATGTGTGCTTTTATTTATAATGGAGCATTTCTTCACTGTACAAAACAGTTAAAGTGATTTCTGAACGAGACTTGATATTTCAATGACTTTTTTATTATATTGAAAAGGATTTTAAACAATGCAGTACCTTATTTCACTCTCGCTTCTCTTGTGATGAGTATTTATTTCTCAGTGCGGTAGCATGTAATGACCGTGAATCAGATTCATTGCATGAAACACAAAAAGTAATGACCTAAAAGAATATGTACAGGGTGCCCTAGCTATCTTTCGCCAGAGTATAAAAAATAGGCCGACACATGTAATCACGACGCGACCAAATGCATGTTGCTGACCGTTGCCTGGAGTTAGTCAGCTTATTTTTTGCGTTAAGAGTATTGCTTATATGGTCTCCTTAATTAATTACCTTATGAAGAAACTAAAACGAAAAGAAAGTTTCAATAAGAAAGTTGTAGATCGGTTTCCGAAACCTCAGATTTGACAGTTTTGAGCTTTAGAACTGTTGATTATAAGTGTTTTTTTGCTAACGACAGATGCGTACAAAATGCGAAAAAATGCCACGTGACAAACCCACTCTAGCGCCAGTGCGCACGATGATTCTAGTGCTTTATAACGTTCTACGTATGAAAGACCGTAGCATTTGCCCAATTGTGTTGTCTCTGCAACGATGGTGGTGGCTTCGCGATGAACACGCTTTGCTATTGGTCACAAAAGTGATAACCGCTGTGACTGTTTATCGCTGTCATGAACTGGTGTGAGGTAAGCGTATCGTTCGTTCGCGGAACGTTAGAGAGCACTAGAATCACTGCGCGTAGGCACGCCAGTTTGTCTGTCATGTGGTATTTTTTCGGTAATTCATGGGCATGTGTAGTTAGCAGAAAACTACTGAGAATTAACAGACACAAAGTTCAAGACTGTCTAATCGGACGTTTTGCAAACCGATCTAACACTTTGTCATTGAATTTTTATATCTATTTTTGTTCTTTGAAAAGTTAGTTACTTAAACAGACGTAATCAAACAATATTTTAGAACACACAAAAAATAGTCAGACTATCTCCAGGCAACAGTTAGCAACGTGCATTTTGTCGCGCGGTAATTCCGTGTGTCGGCATATTTTTGAACTCGGGCTAAAGATAGCTAGGGCGCCCTGTATATTACCGTGAAACTCACTACAGGATGCCACTCGCTGCATACACAAGCATAAATTATATAATTCAATGATTTTTCGCAGTTATTCTTTCTGGTTTGCACAGCCGTTGCAACGTGCTTTTTTCGCTTCCACACGCACAGTACAAAATTTTTTTTCTTTTTGTGTCACTGTTCACGAATGTGGCAGCCTCATCACTTTTATCTCTTGTTTTCATTAAGTGTTATCTTCTCTCACGTCTTCTTCCTTGTCTTTTTCATCACTCAGGCCTAGCTGCGAATAAAACAGCCTTATTTTCCGAAACACTATTTTTTTTTCTGCAGAACAGAACCCATGTCGGCATACCTGCTGTCTGCCATCTTCACCAATTTCAGCGTCGACAAGAGTGGCAGGATGAACCTGTGGTCCCCCACTTCGTGAGTATGCATGTTTCTGTTCCAATTAAAATTAGTAGAAGGTAAACTGAAATACTACTACTAGGACGCGATAATTTTGTTAGCATGGCATAGGTGCCTGATAAGACTTTCCAAGTGACATTGAGTATTACTCAAGTCTAATATTTTGTGAGCCGTCTTGAAACGTAGAAGAGTCGTTTGCAAAAATGGTGGTTCGAAAACCTTGTCTCACCAAATGCGAAATTCAACTGCAGGCGTCCCGAGCCTGCGGCTCTTGGCGTCTCACGGCGTTATGGTTGAGTGAGGCAAACATTATCACCATTTGATGACGTTACCATATGACGTCGCGATGACGTCATATTTCCAAAGCATGAGACATAATCATGACGTCAATTCTCGTGATGACGTCATCATATAACCTCTTAATTTTATCAAATGCAGTCTGATCCCGGAGACAATGCAAAATCAGGTGAAGTGCCTCCCATCTTTGAAGCAATGCAAAACTACGCCAACTGAAGAATAGCCTTCTAAGCATGACAGGGCTGAATCACTGCATTGACTGAGTAGAAAAAGGATGGTGTCTTTTTCTGTCAAGTAGTATCAAGTGAACGCATAAAGGAGCTGGTGAGTTATATAAGGGGATGCTGATGGCGTAGTGCTAATAATTTTATAATTAAAGCACACAATTAGAGCAGTAAGATCAAAGGTACTCATTTTTCTGCCTATTCAGAGAGACTTCGCAAGCCTACAAGTAAGGGCATTACAATATGTTGTCCGTACTATCACCTCTGTAAATCGACAAATGAAAAAAGATTACTCCGCTGAGTGAGCATGAGTAAAATTAGGCGATTATGAAGGCTAATCTGATTGCTTCAAAGTTGTCGATAAGTCATTGCTATGCTTTAGCTACAGGATATTAGGTTGTTTCTAGCTTGACTCTCAGTGCTGGCGGGTTTGAGTTAAGCCACAGACGAGTCACAGACACGACAGCCCGAACTTTAGAGGCGCTGAAAACTGGCGCTGACAACCAGTATTCGTACCTCTCGTAGATCTGCGTATTTACATTGTTTCGAGGTCTTCTTGCAGCCGCCATTCTCTTTTCGAAGTTGTAGTATTCTCTCTTTGTGCGAACCAGGGGTCTTCAGCTCGCGACCCCCGATTCACAGCCATTTGTTTAGAAAACTGTTGCCTTTATTTTTTGTTAACCAGTGCTGAGTAATACGATGTACCTGCCCCGAGACTCATCGGAGGATGGGGCGACGGAGATGAACAGCACCCTCCGCCAAATGTAATAAGGTTTATTGGCTATCGGAGGACGGGATACTTGTAAGTGGCGAGGCAGCGTGAAGAACTGTTCAGAGGCACCGCAACGATCAGAATCACGAGCAAAGCAAGCTGGGCGTTGGCGTAACAATTAGATGGATGCTCAACTTCTTCACATACCCAATTTCTTAGGCGAATTCCCGTTTATGACCAGTAGATTGCCACTATTTGACAGGTAGATTATGACAGATTATGACAGGAAATTATGACAGGTAGATTGCCACTATCCCTCAAGAGGAAGGTATATAACAACTGTATCTTGCCGGTGGTTAGCTACAGAGCAGAAACCTGGAGACTTAACAAAGAGAGTTAAGCTTAAATGGAGGACGACACAGCGAGCAATGGAAAGAAAAATGGTAGGTGTAACCTTAAGCGACAAGGAAAGAGCAGAGTGGATTATGGAACAAACGGTAGTTGAGGATATCATAGTTGAAATCAAGAAGAGGAAATGGACATGGGCCGGGCATGTAGCGCGTAGACAGGAGAACCGCTGGTTAATAAGGGTAACTATAACTGGATTCCCAGAGAAGACAAGCGGGTTAGGGGGAGACAGACAGTTAGGTGGGCAGATGAGATTAAGAAGTTTGCGAGCATAATTTGGCTGCAGCACTAACAGGACCAAGTTAACTGGCGGAACGTGGGAGGGGCCTTTGTCCTGCAGTGGTCGTGGTCAGGCTGATGATGATGATGATCATGATGATGATGTGTTAACCAGCATATATCCGCCGCCGAGAATTTCGGAAGTGATAACTTTATTGGGGCCTAGTCGAGAGACTTTCACCAATTAAATCTGTGTGGTCTTGAAACGAAGAATGGACACTCCGTGAATAATGTCGCCAGGCTTTTTTTTTTCTACATGTGAAGTACCGTCAAACTAGCAGCGCTACCGACGAAAGCCATTGGCTATAACGTAAGTTTTCGGTAGCCATGGTTTTCCTAACGCTTTTGCAGTGTTTGGTCAAAGGGACGTGTCGCGTTCGATTGCGTGGACGACTTCGCACACTGGCAAAAAGACGGCAGTGAGTGCACGGAAAGCGGAACATTTCCTTTCGCTATTCAAAAAACGGAAGTCCTAGATGACTTTTGTTTTTGTGTTCCGGCACCACTCAGTCGCATTGGTAGCGAACAAAAGCCTCAGCGAGTAGCTCACTCTTCTTCATATTTTCTCCCTGCAACTGGGCAAAGATTTTCAAAATATATTCTTCAAAGTCGCAGAACTTTAAAAGAGCATTTTGTTTCAACCATGAGCGCGATTATTTTACCTGAACGCGGAAAAACTTTTTCTTAGTCAAGCTGAGCTTCAAAAACAAGATTCCCGCTGCGTTGTCAGAAAGTTTGAAGTTTGAAGTTTATTTTATTTCTTTCTGATACAGAAAGAGGAGTAAGAGCTAAAGGCCGTTTTGCCTGGCAGAGGCTCCTACTCCTAAAGGTATAACTGAAGTGTCCAAAAGTTTATTGGGAAACAACACGTGCTGCTGTTATTGTAATCACAAAATTGTGCGAAAAGGCGAATAGCCATATACCTCGGGCAGCAGTTTTTGCTTGGGCTACGAGGGTAAAAAAAAGTATAACTAAGCATAACCAAGCGAACAAGGTTTCGTTTTTGCAACCGGCGGTTAGGGGCCTAACGTCCAAAGACCACGATACGAATATGAGTGACGCCGTAATTAAGTGCTACGAAAATGTTGACAACCAGGGGTGCTTTGACGTTCCTGGCCGAGCTAGGCCGTAGCCATTTTTTACTAGGCATGGTTTTGTACGGGGACATGATCGGGCCCAGAAGCTAGCCTGACAGCTCAGTTGTAAACATGCCTTCCCGTGCAGATTCTCTCCCTACCAGCCTTTGGTGCTGAAGACCATCGAGAAAGTGGTGAGCCTCCTCGAGGACCAGATTGAAACATGGAGGAGCAGTCTGCAGGTGATCGACCTGGTGGTGGCACCCGACATGCTGGAGATGGATGTTTCCGGTGCCGGCTTCGTCGGCCTCCGGCAGAGTTTGTTTGAAGCCTTCGACATCTGGGAGCGAGAGAGCTGGGTCGTCACGGTTGTCCAGCGCATACTTAGACGCTTCTTCCTATCGTATGCCACGCCCCGGTGAGCCGAATCACTCACTGTCCTACTTGAAGTATGACCGTAAAACTATAAGAGTGCACAGGGCTGGGGCACAGGGAACATTTTTTTCGGGAGAGAGGGGAAGAGAGGGTTACTTACCTCTCTTATCTGAAGAGGGGGTTGGGCTAGCCGATGTATGCGACCGTAATTTGGCGCCATGTGAGGTAAGCCTTGGCAAGAAGTTTGAGGGGGGGGGGCGTGACCTGGTGTGCCACCCCCATCGCTACGCCACTGGCGCGAGGTTATTACGGGGAGGTGAAGTTCCACCTCAGCGCTCCTCCCCTTGCTTCAGTCGTATGGAATGAAATAACCTTATTGAAGGCTTTTTAGGGTGTCACCACGTAGCGCGCCCCTCTCACGTCGGTACAGATAGGCCTAGCCTATCCCCCAAGTAACGGGCCAGTTGGACTGCCTATAGTTGTGCTTCGATGTCGGGGATGCGTAGCGCAGCAGCCAGCTTGAACCATTTATCGTCTTCGTAAAGCCGTAACGCAGGGCGCTGCCAGAACATGTGTTCTAAGACGGCAAAGTGTAAATACTTAGACACTGTTGTTTGGCGTAGAAATTTCGTAATAGATTCTGTGCAAGAGTGCGGGGATAGGATATGCGCCGACCAGCAAGTGTGTTCGTCTTCGCATATCCTAGTCGAATTTCGCTATGGAATTAAATGAGCTCCATAGTGAATCTAATGAAGCGATGATGTGCTTATCACAAACAACCTCCAATGGTCTTCGGTTTGCCGGGGTGAAGCTGGGAAGTAAACATTCCTTTGAATGCAACATCAAGGAACCTTGAATGATCACCGTTATCGTGAATTAAAAAAACACAGTGCTATGACTTTGCGCATGAAACAAAAATGTTCTGACCCAAGAAAAAGTACGGAGGGGATCATCTTGAGCAGAGCGAGCCCTGCCTCCTATTTCCGTTCCCCCGTCAAAATTTTGGCTTACTATTTTTCGCAGTAAAAGGTGCGCCTGCCTAGCAATTCCTGGTAATAATAATATACCTGTCGGTTACAAAGAATGTATGCGGAAGCTCTGTCACCAGAAATAAAAAAAAACTGAGCCCAGTTTCTAAGATTTCGCTAAGAGGTGCTCCATCACTAAACGATGGGCAGTGCCAGTGATGGGGTATGTGCAGGTCAAGACGACGTCCGCGGAAAGCTGCATCTGCTCACCGCAGCGGCAAAGGCGAACACATCGCAATGGCGTACGTGACCGCGTGAGCCTCTTCGTGGCTTTTCACGTTGCGCACAAAGTAGACGAGAATCTTCGAACACGTACTGACACGTCCCCATATGCACTTCAGGCGCGGCTTGCCCTGAGTACTGTCTGAGTGTAACGTGGCTCTTGTGGGGGAGGCTGTCCGTGGAGCAGCTACAGGTCCCTGGTGTACAAGGGTGTCGCTGCCACCTGCACTCTCGTTGAAATAGAGGAACAAGTGTGCCTAACAGTATCGTTCACATAGCAAGACACAGACATGCCTTAGTCTTGATTGGTCGCCTACCGCTGGAACGCAGCACGCTGAAGGACGCGTGGATTGCCGAGTCCCTGGCGTACATGTTCAGACGCCGCGTACTTCAAGAGATGGGCTTCGGTCACACCGAAGACCGCATGCGGCTTCTGAGCTATCGCGATGCAATGGACTGTGACGACAATGGCACGGACAGTGGAGCTCTGCGAACCTCGCTGATCTTCTCGATGCTGGCCGACTTGTGCCCCATGACGTACGTTGTATTTACAGAGCTTATTTTGTTAAAGATGCAATGGCATAGCCGTCCTGCTTTTTCTGAGTTAGGGTAACTGTTGTAACTTTGAATGGAATTTGTATTTAGTCGGTTACAACACATGATTGAATATTAGCCTGCTACCGGAGAATGGTGGCACGTGTGCAATTTATGTGTACAAGAGAGTGGCGCTAGTTGGTTTCTGTTTAACCCGTAAGTACTTTCTTCGCTGCTGATATGAGTACTACGTACAATACTAAAAGTTTGCAGTTGCGACCTGAAATATCAAGTTTTCCAGACCAGCGATGCCATATTCTTTATTAATTGCTTATATTTACCCAGTAGTGTGAGTTTTAAACCGAAAACCAGACATAGGAACATTCGTCCGTTACCTGTATAAATAAATCCCCTACCTCAAGTATGCTAAAGGAGCTAGATGCCGTGAAAATGAGCAAATGCGATTGAATGAAGTGGGACAGCGACGCCAACAGGCGGAACTTACGTTTACGCTCTGGTTGTAACTGAATAGGGAGTTTTAGTGCTGGGTACCCAAGCGGCTTGCGTACGCACGACGTTGGGGTGGCGGTATTGCGCATGCGCGAAACCCCAAACAGATGCGTCGCAAGATTGCTGGGGCGATGGGGCCATGCGTCCGCGCGGTCCACCTTCGCAAGAACTCACGGTATCCGCACTGCGGATACTCTAGCCGTCGAGTTAAAATAAGCCAAAGTGCGAGCACTTATAGCGATTACACGGTTTCAGCCAGATTTACAAAGCTAGAATGGCCTGGAACATAGAAACTAAAAGACATATGCCAGCCCCCGACCAGCTGAATGAGTGGCGCCATCTAGCGTGGCCATAGTGAAACAGACAACCACAACTTTGTTATTGCAGATACATTGTGCATTGTACATCTGGTGCAAAAACTGTGCAGCGACAATACTACAAATGAGTAACCTTTTTGTTCATTTTCACCTCAAAATCATTACGCGTAAGCTAACATGTTCATGACTGCGGTTGCAGAAAGTGTCACAAGATGTCGACACTGTCGTTACTATAATCTTGTATTTCACTTTTTTGCGTATACCAGATTACTGTACACTATAAAAAAAGTGTCCTGATCCCTATGTATGTTTATTTAACATTTTAAATCATAAAAAGACTCAAATAATACTTACGCGACAAGACGCTATGGCTCTGCGAGCGCGCGTGAACTTCGTGCGGCTTGCGTTTGCGTGCGTGCCACCGTGGCGCCAACTAAAAGCCATTCCGGTTGGGTATGGGTTGGGCACGCAACGCCGTGCGCTTCCAAGCCCGCAAGGCCCCAAGAGATTGCGTACCCAGCACTAAAACTCCCTAATGTGTATAGTGTATCTCTGTACGCTGCCGTTGAGCGCAGCGTTGCGCGTTTGGTTTCCTTGTGCCGGCACTCGCGAAGCGGTATGACGTGGTACGAGAGGACGTCAAATGTTCCACCAGAGCGCGGAGAAGCCAGGCCTGACGCGACACAAAGGTTCCGTAGAGGTACTGTTCAGCTAGTAGCCGCACAGGGCTGAGTGGTTGCGCCGCGATACCAATGAACGAGTCGGGTAAGCCTGCACCAGCGTCTAAAATCTGCCTAGTGTACGCGGAAAGTAATCTTTCCGCAGAGCTCTGCGCACTATGGCGAGCCTGGGTACTGTAGTGGCTCGCCGAGGTCGCACTGGAGCACCGAAATACGCATGAGCAAGTAGGATCGCTGACGGAGTGTGTCCATACTATGGCTATAGCAGATACATACAACAACGTGTTTGATGATTGTGGTGTGGTTAATTACTTTTGAAGCAAACAGTGCTACCACCATGCTCCCATACAGGAAACCATGCTGCCTGCGGTGGTGCCAGCTTATTTTGCCGAATGTTTCAACTCCATAGTGTTGAAGGGCTCATTTCGAAGAAGTCTGGTTGTAAGGGAAAACGTATGGCATTGGCCGCTAGCAAAAATTTGAGATAGATGGGAATAAAGGTAGGAGCCAAAGGGCGTTTGCATGTTGGATTTCCTTGCAACACAGATGAGGATTCCATCAAGAATCGATAGCAGGCTGGCGGTTTGAAGACGATAGCGTGTGTGCTTACGCGCGTGTGCGTCCTTCTGGTTTCGGAAGGTGATCCTTTTCGGCGTTTATAACACCTACATTGTGCGAAGGGGTGCGATGAAGGGCCTAACTTGACTACTGCATTTACTGGAATGTTATCCCCTCCTCTTAGCGGTGTTCATGTCTGCCGGTGTTTGCTAAATGACGGTAATGATAAAACGGGCATCAGTCCGGTGTGACTGCAGAGATATGTCTTATTTATGGGTGTTAATTTAGTTCGGAGAAATATATTGGTTATTGATTGTTGGTGTTGCCTACACTTCGTTGCCTTTGGGAAATATTGTGGAGGTTTAGGATAACGTTGACTCATGCTGGCTATTAGCTGTTGTTGCAGCATTTATTTAATTGCGAGAGAAATTCAGTAACGTACGTAGATTTCTGGGCGACTTGGTTCATATTGATAGGAAGAAGCAACCAGATTCTTCGCTGTATACGTGTTGTTTTTCGCTGGTTGCTTCGTCTCATTGCGATAGCAATTATAAAGACACTCCCGGATGGTTTTGCCGCCTGCGTCATTCACCTTAAATTCGCCGGTTCCGATCTTGGGGGAAATATCAGCGTATTCTCAGCATTACCAGATAGATGGCGCAAAGAGCTCGCTCGGCACCCCACTTGCCGCGACGCGGTGACACCCGCTCTTGAACTCATCTACCACGTGCAGTTTGCCCCGCAGAGGAGGTGGGGGGAAGGGTGTAGATAATTGAGCGTGTGCCCGCTTATCCCTCGAGGCAGTAGACTTGCACGCCTCGGGCTTTCACCCGAACGACTGCGTTGTAGGTAACGGGCTCACAAAGGTCACTTCATTCGCTGCACGGGCCCCGTTTGCGAAAAGGGCACGCTTTTCAGAAACAACGTTGTAACAACTGGGACACTTGTTAATTTTCACTCATCTGTACCTGTAATTACGTTTGGCGCATTGTTTTGCTTAAACAGTACCTGGAGTGCCCATCTGTAAATCATCTTACGTCGCCCTCGTCCTGTGTGTGCTGTTTTTGTGCGTGCATTCGCAACGCGCTGCACGTTTTGATCTGCTTGCCGTTGTAAGCGTAACATTCCAAGTTTCTGCTATCGCATTCATTGCATCACTCTAGCGACGAAAGTGTGACTATTATTCAGTTACGAATATAGTTTCCACATTCACTCCAAGCGAAAACGCTGACGTCTCGCTTCACATGGTGTGTTGTATTTTATAACAATGCCAGTGGGCCAAGGCCATCACCAAGGACCTTGATAGATGTTTATCGAACGGTAGGTCTTTGGAGGCCTAGCTCCGGTCACAAACGTTGGGTAAATAAAGTTTGTTCAACTCAACTGAAGCCACCCTACATTGTCACCGGCATTGTTTTATTAGTCCGCGTTTCGCACTAGATTACGTCAACGCACATATGTCTAGTAGTTAGGTACAGATGTCCTAAAGCTTCCTGGTAATAAGGAACCCTAATGGCTTTCAGAGTGGCGTGGAACCCCTAACTTCTTCAGCATGAGGACAATCAAAGATAGGAGTGGGAAAGCGATGAGGGTTGGTGAGAACGTTTTACGAAGCGTGCAACCACAGTACTCACACTACCCGCGGTGGCCTGTTCTTTCTTTTTCAATACTGAAGGCCATCGTCATCGGTGTAGAGCTCTCGACAATACGCAGACGCGACGCAATTTCTCCAAGTCCCACTACACGAGTCGAGTAAAGCGCCTGCCGACCACACTGCACGCTTCATGCAAATTGAATTCACAAATCCTGCAAGTTTCGTGGTGCGTACTAATCAACGAGTCTTTAGTCCTGCTAACACGGGTATCTCTCGCTATCATCAGGTACCCAATGCCAGGATGCGTTGTGCGGCCGATTCGTAGATGCAAAATGCAGTGTAAACTTACTCATTTTACTAAATGAGTAAATTGATAACTGGTGTAAAAGGGGAATGGGTTGCATTCGTTTTGGCCACTCGCGCAGCCGAAAGGTGTCCATCACGTGACGCCTGTATCAAACCAGGGGCGTCAGCAGAAATATCTTCGAGGATGATGGTAACCTCCTTGATATGAAAGAGGGGCGGTGGTGGCGGGAAATAGCAAATGTTTATTCAGAGCTTTGTGTTCCATGGCGTAAAAGTTTCGGGGCAAGGGAGCACGGGCTCTTGCCAACCCGTGGCCACGTCACTGGTTTCCATGGTGCCCAGTCCGAGAAACCCAGTTCTATTAGTTTCTGTTATGTGGTGACAACTATGTCCCAAAGCGTCGAGTGTTGCACCGACACGCACACTCGCCCTTGTTGTTTCGCGTGCAGGATACGCTCGGGAATCAGGCGCTACATGAAGGAGAACGAATACGGAGTGGCCGACGACGTGGTGCTGTGGCGCACACTGGATCTTTCGGGGTTGCTCTCCCGCAACATGGACTCGTGGTTCGATCACGGAGGTTATCCCGTGGTTAGTGTGCTCCGTGTGAACGACCACCGTGGACCCGGGCTTGTCTTAAAGCAGGTACGCAACGAGAAACCGGTACCTGGGCCAAGGTATAGAGGTAGTCCGTGCCAAAACTTAACGTTCTCGTCAAGTCGCGGTTTATATCTTGCCATACAGTACCTCGATGTCACCGTTCTCCTGGACAGGGCGGCGATGTGTCCGACAGATCCGCTATATTGAATCGTAGGAAGTAGAGATGCAGTAAACCAGCTTGACCGCACATCGCGAGAGAACAACGCACGTACACGTGTGTCCACGTTCACCGGTCTAGCACAATATGGGGGTGGCATGGTCAATGAGTGATAACGTGCGCAGCGTTTCCTACCATATTTTGTAGAGAGAACTCTGGTGCTGCGACCATTCAGCAACCATGAAAATGGTGGGCAGTACGCAGATGTTTCTAATCTTCTTGCCAGCGGCTGCGCACACACTGGTGTCTTTGTTTATTGTTGCGTTTTAGAGTTTGTTTCGGATAAGATGATTGAATACATCTGTGGACTTCGTGAGCTGATATGAATTTATGAGGCTAAAAAGGCCCAGGAGAACCGATAGAAATGTGCTGAACTTCTTCTACTTGTGTTAAGGCAACGTTAGGCCTCACGGAGCCAAATGGAGTGAAAAGAACGAAACTTAAACAAAGCCGTGTACCACGATTAATTGCCTTGCTGGCTGAAGTGCCATGTGTTGCAGCTCCCATTGACACTGGCGCCTATGGTGTAATAATAGGAAAGTCCATGTGGTCGTGCACACTGAACGCACTAACAAGATAATAACCTCCGATTAGAGGCATCTCCCTGTGCATATGTGTGCCATTGGTGAATCGGTCGCAGTGATACTTAACTCTTGAGTAGGAGGTTATACCTCTTTTTACGGGCTACGGTGGTGAATTCATGCCTGCAGACAGAACAAAAGCGCACCTGTAGTACGCTTTTAATGCTAAGTACTGTGCTTTTCATCTTTAAGTTTGCGAAACCGGTATAAAACACTCCTTTACGGCATCGCTCCTAAAGCAGGTTAAGATGCGTAACATTAGACTATTGTGATGGCAGCCACCTAAAGAACGTCCGTTACCGGCTGTACTGCAAAACAGGCATCACTGGCAGTACTTTCATGCACGAAAAAGGCTGCAAGGCGCTATGATAGCGTAGTAACAATACTGATCGTTGGCCTACTTGGTACTTGCCTAATGACATGCTTTGGCCGCAAATAACACACACACACACGAAGTAAAGGAACACTCAACGACAAGCACAAGCGGTTATTTGCGACCAAAGCATGTCATTAAGATAGCGCAGTCTTTAATGCAATTTACGCGTGCTTGTGCGTTTTGTCTGTTTGACGGCAATATAACATGACTCTAGTCAGGTAGCCATATGCCGTAATGTCCGCTGTTGTTTCAATCCACACATTACACTGCTCTGAGAAGAGAGTCCGTGACTACGCGAAGAGTACCCTGACCGAGAATGAAATTGCACCCGCAGGGTTGGCCGTGCTTTGATGACATGAAGTGCAACTACACGCTCGTGTGGCCAGTGCCGTTCGTACTGAACGTGCAGGGAGGAATCCGCGTTCCCGAAGAGGGTGCCTTCTGGTTCAGGGGAACCATCCAGCGATACAAGTGAGCACCCGACGCACCTAGTGTTTGCCCTGGTATCTTGTCTGGATTGCTGAAGACGGCGAACTAACGCGTTATTCGGCAATGCTGCTAAGGCAGATGGCTATGATAAAGGTAGGGCCAAAATGAGGAAAAACTCTGCTGGAGTGATGCAGAGTGGCAATAATTTTATCGTGAGAAGCCGATGAATTAGGTTGACATCATAAAATAGGGCATTTAGCAGGCGAATTTAGAGTTACAGCTTTGCATTTGTTAAAAAGGATAATGTCTGGTTGCATGTCCAGCACCTTTATAATGCCACGAGCGCTCATTTGTTCACAAGTGAATGCTACACGTGCTACTAACGCCAGGCACAGGCCGCGTCGAAACGCATGGGAGGCTTTGTGATCATTTAGGAATTTTCTGATCAGACTGCTCATACGGCATATCTGAGAAGGAGTTGAGCTTATTTTAGAACTAACACTCGTACCAGAAAAAAAGCTGGAAGCGCCAACAATGTACGCATCGAAACTGCGTGCTTTATCAGCGATCACAATGTCCGGCTATCCACGACCGTACTTGCTGCTATTGCGGTATTGCAAAATGTCACTTGCTTGTAGAGCGAGCTGGGGCACAAGTGAGCGGGACAATACGGCAGCGGAATGGGGGAGGGGGGAGGGATTCCGAAATTAAAAAAAAAACGTAAAGTGAGCTCCACAACTGTCTGCATCAAAGCAGTAGCTCACAAGGGAATAGCTAAGTAGGGATTTAAGAGATGGAGAAGTGAAGTTTGGAGGAGATTAAAAGAGTGGGAGACGGTTGGAGAAGACCGTGCAAGAGCCCTGATTCATGAACGGTCCTCTAAAAGAAGACATAGGGGACCAAACAACAGTTGGCCACGAAGTCCGCGGATCATCTAGTTGTGGAACGGTGGAACTGCAGTTTACCAGAGGGATACGGGAATAAATGAGCACACCAAATGAGGCGTACATGAGTTCACTGCTTTGGATGTATTGCAATTTTCTTAAAAACTGTTGAGGCACAATTGCTTGTTTTATGGCGTAGTTGTGCAGAGCATAAAGCCAGGAACACGCACACACGCGGAGGTGGGCCAGATGGGGCTATGCATGTGCCAGATTTTAGTGCTGCTCTTACTAGTCTTTTGTTTTACGGTGAACGTAAAATTGGTTCAGATACGCAAGGTAGACGGGGAAACATAGATATGCATCGTCAGGCTCGGTGGTACCTTGTATGAGAACATACACTGTTTTCTATCTTTAAGTCACATTCACTTTGCATCTTGCAGTTTGGCGCGAGATATCAGCTCCTCATGGTTCCTTTGTAAACGTGGCCACGGTGTCGTACTTCCGCGTCCAGTACGACGCAGACAACGTGGCCCTCCTGACACGTCAGCTGCTACAGAACCACACGGTCCTGAAAGTGAACAGCAGGGCGAAATTCCTGGACGACATGGTGGCGCTGACAGTGCGGCGTATGGTGTCAATCCATGCCTTGGTGGGACTGCTAACGTATCTGCAGGCACGGTCTTTTCTTGGCCCAGAAAAGTGTAGATCATTTGGCTTCCTTCGGTGCTCCTGAGAGGTGGTTTAGTGTTTTCGAGCGTACTAGAATAAGCACGCTGAAAAATTTTGAAACATAGGCGTGAACAAAATTCTTTTTTAGGTGAGATGAAGCTTCATTGCAGCTGAGGGGGAGAAACCGAAAATTGAGCGATTGAATGTATCTCACATAGCCCCGTGTGTTGTATGTTACTTTTAAAGGGGGGTGGGGTTGATTGCAATTGTGGGAAGTGAACAGTTTTTTTAGTGTAACATGCGGACGAGAAGGGCGTCATTGTAGAAAAGGTGCACGGCTCTTCACATTTAACACTAATAAAGCAGATAAAATTAAATAAAAGTATTGACCAAACGTAACCCCTTGTTTTGAGTGATTAGGGGAGGAGGTTTCAGTTACCGTGCGCACGTTCAGGCTTGAAGTGTACACTCTCAGGAATGTTGGCAATTCACGACAAAGAAAAGGAGCCAGAAAATAACGCGAGACCAAGAAGGCCATATAACAGGCGCTTGAAAACACGTAGTCATATTCACAGCGTGTTCAGTATACTTACTTTTGCCTAAATATCAAAGTACAAAAACCGCACGGTAACATAGCCAAGCTTTTGTTACCTTATCGTCAGTGCCTGCATCCGTAAGCTACATTTGTTCCGAGCGATGACTGACTCTGTTCATTGTACGAAAGTAATTGATCCCCGTGTTCTTAGATCCTAAAATGCTCAAAGCCCATGAACTTAGAGTTACGTGCATGTTAAAGATCCCCGAGTGGGCATAGCTTCCGGACCCAATCCACCATGGCATCTCTCATAATCATATCGTGATATTGAAACGTCAAACCACATCAATCATTACTTGATCACTGGTACAGGGCTTCACCCTGCATTGCTCAAAAGGTTAGCTGGTGATGGTCGTTCACCGTGGTGGATCAGTGGCTACGGTGCTCTGCTGCTGACCCGAAAGCCGAGTTCAAACCCGGCCGTGGTAGTCGTATTTTGGTGGAGGCGAAATGGTGGCGGTCGCGACTTCAGTGCTCGGTGAAGACACCAAACGGCCCCTATTTCTGGAGCCCTCCACAAAGGCATTTCTCATAATAATATCATGGTTTGGGACGTAAACTCCCAGATAATATTGTTATTTAAGTGACGATTAAGTAGATGTATGCAACTGGCTTTACTTAGACAACTTGAGCGAAACATAATGCTGAATTTCGCTGCAGAAAGAGGAGAGCTGTGCTGTGTGGCAGCTGTACACTAGGTCAGCTCGCAAGGCTCCGGAGGAGTTCTCGGGCCGAACGGAGTACAGACATTTCTACCAGAGGAACCAGGAGATATGCATGCTCGTGCAACTGGAACCGACAAGCAGGCCATGTCTTCTGGCGATGCGCTGGAATATTTGCTGCTTCTTCGGCATGTGCACGTTGCCTGCACCTATGGCGTGAACTCAGAGCTAGATTACGCTGCTACATTGCGTTACCTGTTAATTTATGGTGTGATATGGATAAAAAATGCGAACTAGAATTATAGCGAAATTTATGACTGTTTGCACGTGCATTGAACTTGTTCTACTATGTCCTACAAGTGTGGCTGTTCTACAGCTTGTTCAGTGCGATATCACTTTTTCAGTCACTTTCATGTAATGACGGTGCAAATGGTTGATTGGTTGATCTGAAATGTCTTAGCTGGTTCGTAGTAGCTAGCGTCTTTATATTGATACGAAATGCTTACAGTTTTTGATGCACGTTTTATGAGACAAAATTTTGTTGTTCATTAACTCGTTGTTCGTCATGACACGTGATAATATTATTGTGGTCTAGGTAGTTCTTCCGAAAAAAAGTAAAAATTCAATTGTTTTTGATGAACAAGGACGTTCTAAATTTTGAACACACAAGAATCATTTCGGAAGAATCGTTGGCATATGATAGCCTGGCTGTATTACCTTCACTCATTATTTCAGACTCAGTCGTGAAGTTTTGTGCATTTTAATGTTGCGGAGTGGCCCTAAACCAAGGCCTCAATCGAAAAGAAAATGGTTTATGAAGATGTGAGCCCTGTTGGGCAGTGCCCTAAAAATGTCAGTTTTCTTATGCTAGACGAAATGATAGGTGCCGGTATGGAAACTTCATCTCCTCAAAAAAATTGATTTCATTCAGGAATAAACTGAATTGAAGGTAAAAGCTTGAAATGTTCCAATTCGCGCAACGGGTTTGTTTATTAGCACTTCGGCGTTAAAAATGTAACAAAAAGCTGCGCGTTTTATAGCTACTATGTCAAGCCCCGTTGGCAGCGGCAACAAATAACGTGTAAATAAATCAATGTCACTGTTCAATAAATAATCTGCTTACCAAGATTACACTCCAGGTTCGAAGAGGTTTTTTGATAATGACAAAAAATTTGGTTATGGACTGAACAATAAATTAGAGCCCTTGAGCATTACAAAATTAGGCTATGAAGGGTGGGTATATTAGCTTCAGACGCCTCGTCCACTTCATGGCCGTTCATACGTTGTGAATATACGCAACTGTATGGGTATTACCCTCCCCATCACCACCACCACCACCACCATAAATGGATAGAGGGACTTCAGTCAAAGATAGAGGGACTTCAATCAAACCTTCTCCGCCTGATATCCATGTTTGTATACCCAACGTCAGGAAGAAGACCCCCAGAGCACACAGACGTACGCGGGCATATAAATCAATTGTAGATAAAAACGCTTAAATTCACTTAAGCTTGTAGAACAATGCCCCCCCCCCCCCCACAAAAAAAAACTAAAATGCCAGGGCTGCGCGTACCACTCGGCATAGTCGCAGCGAAATCTCGGAGAGTGGCCTTTCTAAAGCTCGTTGGGGCAACCATACAGGTACTCATGCAAGGTACCTACAGCCACTGCGATCTGGTTAGAGTTATCTGGTTAGATGAGGTAAGTCCATGTCTGTGTAGATCATTCTTTCTTGAAGTTATGAGCCGTTGGAAAACACACATCCCTTGCTGTAAAATTGTCATGCTACTAGTTCAAACTCAATTGTTTGGAATTGAGAGGGCCTAAGCATCCCGAGCCCAACTTGGTATTCTGCAAGACAAGATAGCTTTTCAACTTCGATTGTTGTGCATAGCGGCCCCCCAGCTGTGTTAGCTCCACATGCTTTTTGGGACCCTACGTCAGACCCGTCACCGACTACACTCTATCACGGAGTAAAAAGCCGCTGGCTGTTCCGGGTCTCTGTAGAAAAGTGAGCAGCACTGCATGTATTGTGCCCTTGTTTTCATTGACATACATTCGCACACATGAAGTTACAGGTTTTCTGTGTTTTTTAACGTTGCAACAAACTGATACTATTGTCACCACATTGCCAACTGTGCGGTCGTCGCGTGCGGAATGTGGCAGTGAGTGGTTGCGCACTTTGTAAAAATATAGAAAGCGTGATATTTGAGTAGTGTTCTAGGTTTCGCGAAGCTTACATTGCATTATTGATTCACTCATGCAGGTTGCAATGTTGTTGCCATAAAATCAACTGGGCTTGGAGGTTTTACCAAAGTACTCCTTTGATAAGATAAAAGGTTTCCACTATTTAAAATATCAGACTATGTATAATGTGATTAGATGAAAGATTTATGCACAACAATATATAAAAATACAAAGAGATACTTCCAAAGCAATGTTTCAAGAGCTCCAGTATCATCCACAATACTGTGCGGAAACAGCGACATATAAGCTTCCAGTTTTGGAGTTCTCAACCAGTAAATTTTCAATATCTTGTTCTACGGCATCATGAAACTAAGTGTGCCCGTCTCTGGGATCGAGAACTGCATCGTCCCCGTCTCTTGGATGAGTAACTGCCTCTTCACCACCTTTATAATTTGGAACTGCATCGTATCCGTGGTCGGGAACGGCAGCGTCTTTCTGTGGAACAACATGAACCGCAGTATCTTCGGGTCTGTCATCGGCAACCGCAGCTGCTTCAAGTACATCAGTGGGAATCGCAGCATCTCTGGGTCTCTCATCAGGAACTGCAGCGTCCCTGGGTACGTCATCGGGCACAACAACGTCTCCGGCTACGCCATTGGGAACTGCAGCGTCGTCAGTTACGTCATGGGGAACTGCAGCGTCTTTAGCTACGTCATGGGGAACTGCAGCGTCTTTAGCTACGTCATTGAGAAACGCAGCGTGTCCAGCTACGTCATCGAGAGCTACAGTGTTTTCAGGTGCGTCATCGGGAACTGCAGCGTCTTCAGGTACGTCGCAGCTAACTGCAGCACTCCCGGGTATGTAACCATGTATCGCAGCGTTCCCGGGTGTGTCATTGGAAAACGATGAACCTCCGTGTCCATCATTGGGAACCACAGCATGTGCCGGTCCGTCATCGGGAACTGCAGCATGGGCCGTTCCGTCATCGGGAACTGCAGCATGTACCGGTCCGTCATCTGAAACCGCAGCATCCCCGGGTCCATCATCTGGAACCGCAGCATCCCCGGGTTCGTTATGGGGAACCGCAGCATCCCCAGATCCGTCATCGGAAACCACAGCATCCCCGGATCCGTCATCGGGAACCGCAGCATCCCCGGATCCGTCATCGGGAACCGCAGCATCCCCGGATCCGTCATCGGGAACCACAGGATCCTCGGGTTCATCATCGGAAACCACAGCATCCTCGGGTCCATCATCGGAAACCACAGCATCCTCGGGCCCGTCATCGGGAACAGCAGCATCTTCGGGTCCGTCATCGGGAACCGCGGCATCCCCGTATCCGTCAACGAGAACCGTGGCATCCCCGGGTCCATCATAAAGAACCGCAGCATTTCCGGGTTTGTCATCGAACACGGCAGCATCCCCGGGTCTGTCGTCGGGAACCGCAGCATCCTCGGGTCCGTCGTCGGGAACCGCCGCATCACCGGGTCCGTCATCGGGAACCGCAGCACCCCCGGGTCCGTCATCGGAAACCGCCACATCAGTGGGTCCATCATCGGGAAATACAACGTCAGCGGGTGCGTCATCGGGAACTACAGCGTCAGGGGGTCCGTCATCAGGAACCGCAGTGTCAGCGAGTCCATCATAGGGAACCGCAGCATCCCCGTATCCGTCATCGGGAACTGCAGCATATTCGGGTCCAACATCAGGAAACGCAGCATTTGTGGGTCCGTCGTAGGAAACCGCACCGTCCCTGGGTATAGCATCTGGAACCACAGCGTCACCGGCTGCAGCATGGGGAATCGCAGCATCGCCGTGTACAGCACGGGGAACCGCAGTGTCACCAAGTTTTTGGAATCCGCTGTGTAGACCAGAACACGGACAGACGGTGGAAGTGGTTGGTTGTTCAGTAAAAGCTCTCGTAATGGACTTCTGAAATAAAAAAAAAATGTGCCGATCAATTTTACAGACAGGTGCATAATGGGCTTGGAACGAGGTGCAGTTCTTCCCTATGGCTAAAAATCCCACATTCCCACATATATGGTATTCACACAGTTAATAACACTTGGTGGAATCTGGGGTGCCTAAATGTCGATAATATCATACACGCTGCAGTTGGTTGCTGCGTGTCTGTTTCATCCACCTTACATTCTTGAACATGTGCCTAAAGCTGACCACGGGGCCGCAACTTGACTTGTCACCTAGATTGCCATGTGGTCACAGTTTCTGGTGTTAGAAACCACCCCTATACCTACACACACCTTTACGTGTGGGATTATTTGCTTTGTGGTAAGGGCAGGAGTCAAATTGTAATTGGTTCCCGCCGTATAAGGCTGCATTTACGCACCTATGTAACTATAGTGATTGATATGATAAAAAACTGATTTATGTTTTTCTTGAGCTTGAATACCTCGAACTTGGCGTTTTCTTTTAAAGGAATAAATGCAGAAACTGAAAGTACACTAAATATCACGGGAACATAGACCACGCCTACGTATTTCTCTTTTAAAGAAAATCAGGAAAGAAAATCAGGTGACTCCTCATTGTAGCCTCGTATATCATAGAGTTTAACCAGGTCAAGGGGGTCAATCAATCAATCAATCAATCAATCAATCAATCAATCAATCAATCAATCAATCAATCAATCAATCAATCAATCAATCAATTGAACAGAGTCAAACCCAGCATCCGTTTCAATCAGACAGAACTACACGTTGAATTAGCAGTTTATCAGCCATCGTAAAGAAGACCAAAACAATTTACGTCGGTATGTTAATCAGTTTATTTTGTGACATACTTGTTTTCTAATCGTGCTTTTGTTCCTTAATTACTTTTTAGGCGACAGTTTGCTATTACTGAGAAACATGATGGCAAAACTTGAATGCGAAAAAAAAGATTCCGATTCACCAACTTCTTTCCATCTATCGGTTTTTTTTACCTACACTATCACGTTCTTCCGCTCCGGATGGTATATATTTTTGATAAAAGACAATTAAACGGGTAACGTTGGGCCCCATGCTATTCTTTGACAAAAAAAAGTGATCGGAAACTGCGTGGCATACAAATTATCTACTGTATACCATTTTGACATTATGAACAAATTCTTTAATATACAGAGGTATCGCTAGCTTCATGGTCGATATCCTATGGTGGGTGGCGATGGGTTAAAAAAGAAAGAATCAGTCAAACAATGTGCTTTGATGACATGAAGACGGTAGAAAAGAAAATGTTGATCATGACCGATAACATTTTCAGGGGCAGAACTTAGTTTTTCTGTCTGAGTTCGTCCGTAGGCACAAATGGTGCGTAGGCGAGCGCTTATGATAAAAGAATACGTGTTATGTTATTGTGATAATATTGAAAAAGCTGCCAGCTCTTATGAAATAAGTGGAAAAGCCAATGATCTGCACAAGGCAGTGATGAAGACTGCACGATAATGCAACTGTAGGTAAGAACGCGCACTTTAGTAGGCAAACCACACACGCTACACTCGGCGACAACTACTAGGGACATTGGAGCCAGGGAAGGTGGTACTTACAACATTCCTGTTATTCCACAATCCGTAAGGCAGCCTAGAGCCGATATCGGTTTCAGTCCCTCGCATCTTTAACGTGTTTACAAACAAAAGCGTTTGCACGAAAATTGTAAACGGAAGAAATATTTGTATTATTCAGTATAAATTTTAGTGGCATAAAAATTGAGCATTATTTTCTCGAACTCATTAGCCATGATTACTTTAGAAAATGGGTGCTCTGAAATGGTTGTACTAAGACATAAAAATAAAACAAAGAATTTCTTGCAAAATGAGCAATGACTATTATACCGAGGACCTGCTGCAGCTGCTTTGTCTCATATTAGCAGCCGCATTTATTTCTGCATCATAAACCCTACTTTTTTTTGGAGTGGCAGCAGGCATGCACTTCGGTTCTGTAGTTTACACAATGCCACAGTGATGTCAAGAAAAGTTGTCGCCGAGTATAGACCATTTATATTCGCATTAACCATTTATCAATTTACGGAGTTTTACGTGCCGAGAAAACCTGTACGGACGAAAAACGATAGAAACACCGGCCTCTGAAAATGTAAAAAGCGAGGGCATTATTCTCTCTCACCGTTCTTCCTCTTTCTAGCGTTCTTCCTCATGCATGAGCTGTGGTTCCTGTGGTGTCGGTACATTGTTTACTCTCTATGGGACCATATACGTGAAATGTCTGAAGTGAATCGCCCAATGTAGTGCTACGCCAGGCAGCCGTCCATCCATCCTTCCTTGTCTTGCGCGGCTATCGTGTGTGATCAATTGATTTCACTTCATTTTTGTGTCCGACCACGCTAGTGGCGATAACAGCGTGCAGCCGCCAAGATCGACATACTGGCAGGATCAACGCTCAGTGCTGACCAACACGTGCTTTCAAGAAATAAGTGGCGAGGAGGAAATATGCCTGGAGGAAAGGCTGTGCAGGCGAGGAGGAAACCTCACCCACGTTCGTGTACTCGGAGTGGAGAGGGACCTTTGAAAGGGCCTATAAACGACCTATCAAAATAATAAAAAAATGAGCGTGCTATTGCAATGTCGCCTAAGAAATTCAGGCCTGTTCGCTGTTCCTGCCGCGGGTTTTAACTGTCCGTTTCAACCGTCGTGTTTCGCTGCACCAAAGTGCCCAGACAGGCCTTCGCTTGCTGACGCTGCTCGACAGGAATGAATTGTCAAGCCGGACTTTGTGGCATAGTGGTGTGCTTGTTGGCGACTGGAGGAGACAGTGTTTTTTTTGTGATCGTGAAATATGGCATGATTACGTGACGCGCATTGAGCCCTGGACACCCACTCAGTGCAAGGCAGCAGAATAGGGCGATGTTGCGTGCCGAACTATCGCAGCAATTACAACAGGCTGATAGTGCCAGTGTTCCCGTACCCTAAGGACGACCAAAGAACAAAGTGAGAGCGTGCAGTTCGTCGAGATGACGTCGACATCAGTGTCCTTCGTGGCCAGAAGGTACGTGTGCGTCCGTACTACATACGTCTAAGCCCTTCCAATGACACAATCTCCAGCATGCTCCATTCTTGCTCTGAAATGAAGGTGTCGTCTGGGGTGCCCCTCCACGGTGGTCTAGTGGCTAAGGTACTCGGCTGCTGACCAGCAGGGTGCGGGTTCAAATCCCGGCTGCGGTGGCTGCATTTCCGATGGAGGTGGAAATGTTGTAGGCCCGTGTGCTCAGATTTGGGTGCACGTTTAAGAACACCAGGTGGCTGAAATTTCCGGAGCCCTCCACTACGGCGTCTTTCATAATCATATAGTGGTTTTGGGACGTTAAACCCCACATATCAATCAATCAATCAATCAATCAATCAATCAATCAATCAATCAATCAATCGTTTGGGGTTCTGACTCTTTAGAGTAATCCCTGATATTGAATCAGTAAACGCGCGTTGCGTAGCCATGCATTTTAAGAACAGGCGTGTGTCATTCAGGGTCAATAAACATTTCGCGATTTGCGAATTGCACCGCGGACATGTTGTACCAAACCCGTTTACGGTTGAGGTAAAAGGAGGGAGTGCTCGTACGTTGCTTAAAGTATCAGTTTTGTGTGCAGTTTTTTTTCCCGATGGTCTAGTCACTATTTGAAAGTGTTATAATTTTGCGTTAGTCTGTAGCCTAATATGCTTCCGTAAAATATGTACTGATGTACTTCAGCCGAATTCAGATGCCTGTAGACTGGAATATTTATTTACTGCTACTGAATATACCGATGAAAGAACCGACAGGAACGAAGCCCCAATGGAATCTACATGGTTTACTCTTAGACTCAGGTCCGACAAATATTCCCAATGGCCCAATTTAAATGAGCGACTACGCACTGCAGTGCGAGAGGGATCAGTTCAAAAGAGAAAATCGCAATTTTTGTGTCTGTCACAAGACAGGTTCGGGAAACAGAAAACTTCGATGTCTGTTGCAATGACCATCTCCCCGATATTTTTCTGAAGGACATACTTGTGGCAGCAGCGAACACTTTTCTCAATAACTGCATGCAGCTTTATGAAGACTTTGCTAACTCAGCAATGGAAACTGCAAAAACTTAGAATATGAATAGGGACAGAATCTGCGCATTTCTTGATAATGTACTATCGTGAGCAATGTGAGCTCGAACGCGCGAGCGCGTGGTAAATAGCATGAAAACCAAGAGAACATGGTGCGCGTATGGCGCTGCTGAAATCGGACGCGAAAAAAGGGGTGCTCTTCCACTGTCTGTAGGGATTACACCTTCGCTAGCGTTGCGGGCAAACAGCAGTTGATTGCGTGCATGCTGCTGCTAGCGACAGTAACACGCAAGAAAATGCACGAAAAACAAAGTAAGTGAAAGACGTGCGCCAAAATGCACACCCAACACCGCCTACATATAATACAGGCATGACATCACAGCTTACGTGATAGCCGATATCTCAGTGGCTATATGGGTGATTTGGTGTGACTGCGCGTTGTGCGAGTTCATATCCCTTGCCTACTATAGTCTTCACATGGCTGATAGGGGGTGTGGCACTGATGGTTCGAAAAAAAACAGACCCTCCCACCTCGTATAAGGAATTGTCCAACCTTTTTACCTGGCGCAGAGACAATACCCACCACCGCACAGAAGTCTAAGCAGATCTCAGGTTGTGATAATTAGGGCTGGACAAGTCAGGGCATACCTTAACTCCATGCTATGGCACAGGATTAACCCAGAAATACAGCGAACTAGTACATGTTGCTTCTACAATGTTATAGCTAATTTAAAATACATGCTCTGGTGGTGCCCTGCATTAATCTATGGCGAAGTTATCGCGCCGTCCAAATGGGAGTATGCTGTCACCAGCTCCGTACTCGAACTACAGTTGCGGGCAGTCCAACGGTCTCACGACGCAGCAGAGTCTTGGTTTTTCTGTTCCGACGTAAAGAGCAGCCTACAGCATGCTAAAACACGTTCCCGAAAACCTAATTAAGCTCATCTATCTATTCGTTTCCTACACCAAAGAGCTGGATGATTACGCTCAATTTAGCATAATTATGTCCAAAACTACGCGAATGACAAAGTTTTTGATGACCAAAACAGTTATTGTGACCAGTCCTATAAGCAAGAAAGGAAATGAAAGGTATACGTGCGACATTGGCGGCTAGGCTTGCTTAGACTCGGCGTATCCTAAACCTCATCTGTTCTGATGATATCTTCCCTGAATATTGATTCCGAAGCTACATCATTTAGACAAGCCTGAGGACGTCTGTATAGCTTTCTGAATGAACACTGCAACCGCACCGCACAAGCATCACGCTCACACGTTACGCTATATAAGGCAAAGCCGTACACGCATGCAATATTTTGAACAGTTTCTCTTACTCACTGGATCTTCTGGCTGGTGTTGATCACGGGTCCTTTGTATCATCGTTCTAAAGAACCTTCTCAAATTGGGCACGACAGATAGTCCCGGAAATCGCGAGTGCATCAGCCGGTACACCATCGGGGGCGTTGCCTGCCTTGTCTCTTTCGTTGAAGTACCCGCCTGTGATGCCATGTTTCCTCTTGGTTCACGAATTTCTCGTCAGGTTGGGAACTCGAATCGGAGGGAACAGCAACTTCTCCAGGATTCTCGCTGGCCCTAGAATCTATAGGGCTTCTCTGTCCGCTAATTTTAGCTTCTCTGCCTCCGCTAGTCGTCTTCGTTGAAACGCAGTCCTTCCAACTGTTGCCGCGCTGTTCCCCGGAGTATAATTGTGCTACACTGGCATCATGGCGGCATCAATAAAATAGGTGTGCCACTTCACTGTTTCGCGACACATATCGGCTTACAAGAATAAAACATCACTAGATTCGATACGACGATATGCCGGGGGCTTGTGAAGCTTATCGCGTTGGCTTGAAAGTGGGTCATGGTGGGATTCCAGTGACATGGTGACGTTTCTCTCGTAATTATGTACAACTGCGCATGTAATTTATTCACAAGTTTGAGTTACTTAACAAAACAAAACGGGACAACTTCCGTTCATGTAGGGTTGATACTTCTGAACGACAACAATATCAGTGAATGAATAACTAGAAAGCCTATACGAGTGGAGGGCATATCTTCGCCTAAGAAACTTTCGTATGTCATTCCTGGAAACGAACGTCAATATTCCGGGAATGTGCTAGTAAATCATTGGACTAACTAAGTTCAGTGTAAGTAACTAGATGTGTGCACCTTACGTTGCTTGTTGGTGTACATGAACAAATGAGCAGATGAAGAGAAAAGATATCGCGTGCGTCATAGGCGTCGTAAAAGACACTATCACGTATTCAGTAAGTACTTGATTGCACAGTTATGCAGGCGGCGCTACACTCACGCGTGTGCCATGACACATGAATATGGTAAGCTATGCTAATCTCACATGCTTTTTATTGCTCTGTGTTGATTTACGAAACGGTGCACTGCTCAAGAATTGACTGCCAGCCACTTTTTTTTGCAGTGCTGAGCTAAGTGATTAAGCATAGATCCGCTAAGCGTGTACTCACTGTGTCGTAGCCGGCAGTTCAAGCATCGGCCTGCTTTGCCGAAGTAGCAACACCCACAAAGATAAGGAATCTCATACACTATAGCAATGATGCACTTAACAAACAACGCATGCAGGCCTCTCACAGCTGGTCTTGTTTACATACAGGCAGTGTGCTATGCAGGGCTGTGTTTAGTCCGACACATTGTGAGATTAAGGATGCTTCACTTTCTTTCGTTCAATTGTTTGGTGCGTATCTTCAGTAGGTTATTTGTTTTATCGGTTGTTGCATAATCCTGTGACTCTTAAGAAATCCTGAAATAGCTCAAGTAATTTGTTTATAGCTGCTGCTGTGACGGAAGGCTACTTTCAATGGCGCACGACCAGTGTGCCCTGACCTTCAAACCCTTAAAAGGTGAATGGGGCCCACTAGGTGGGCAAATGCTTTCCTCAAAAGTTGCAAAGGGGAGTCTTTTCTGGCTGCTGGGTGCTGTGTGCATGCTTCTTTCTCTTCTGGCTAACAAATCTTCCTTGAAAGGGCCAGTCAACAGGCTCCGAAACGCGCAGAAAACGCCCGCTCATTTTCCCTGCGCGTGACCAAGCTCCAAGCTCCTTAGCCCCGCCGCGGTGGTCTAGTGGCTAAGGCACTCGGCTGCTGACCCGCCGGTCGCGGGTTCAAATCCCGGCTGCGGCGGCTGCATTTCCGATGGAGGCGGAAATGTTGTAGGCCCGTGTGCTCAGATTTGGGTGCACGTTAAAGAAACCCAGGTGGTCGAAATTTTCGGAGCCCTCTACTACGGCGTCTCTCATAATCATATAGTGGTTTTGGGACGTTAAACCCCACATATAAATCAAACCAAGCTCCTTATACGTGCAATGACGTCAACTCGGCGATCGCCGACGTGACGCAGCAGGCAGCTCGTCGATTGGTCTGAACAAGGTCTCAATAAAGAGTAATAAAGTCAACGTCACCGATCGCCGAGATGACGTCACTGCGCGTGGAAGAAGGTTGGTCAGGCGTATGCGTGAGCTTTTCCTGCGCGTTTCGGAGCCTGTTGGCTGGCCCTTTAAGGCAGTGCTCATACGGTGTATGCGTTGTTTTCGGGCTGTGAGCTACAATCATCAGCCTGACTACGTCCACTGCAGGACAAAGGCCTCTCCCATGTTCCGCCAGTCAACCCGGTCCTGTGCTTGCTGCTGCCAATTTATACCCGCAAACTTCTTAATCTCATCTGCCCACCCAACCTTCTGTCTCCCCCTAACCTGCTTCCCTTCTCTGGGAATCCAGTTAGTTACCCTTAATGACCAGCGGTTATCCTGTCTACGCGCTACATGCCCGGCCCATGTCCATTTCCTCTTCTTTATTTTAACTATGATATCCTTAACCCCCGTTTGTCCCCTAATCCACTCTGCTCTCTTCTTGTCTCTTAAGGTTACACCTACCATTTTTCTTTCCATTGCTCGCTGCGTCGTCCTCAATTCAAGCTGAACCCTCTTTGTAAGTCTCCAGGTTTCTGCTCCCAAGCTAAGTACGGGCAAGATACAGCTGTTATATACC